TACATCCTTCCGAACTGTAGATTGTGGAGACAAGACTGCACACCTTGGTGTCCATGATGCACCTACCCAGCAGAACCAACAAAGCTGGAAGTGTGTACCTAAGCCTAAACCTATTTTGCCACCGGCGGATGGTAAGTGCCCCTCTGATTGTGAGTTCGTTGAAGCTATGCACTCATCCTGCTATGCTTCTTTTACTGAATGTAGATTTAATAACATCCTGTATTTCTATACTGTGGCTAAGCCTAAACCTATTTTGCCACCGGCGGATGGTAAGTGCCCCTCTGACTGTGAGTTTGTTGAAGCTATGCACTCATCCTGCTATGCTTCTTTTAGTGAATGTAGATTTAATAACATCCTGTATTTCTATACTGTGCCCACTTCCCTTAAAAGAGCCTCTGGAGGCTCAGACTGGAGTCTCAACACTCAAGTAGTAGGACCAGAAAATTATAATTCTAAAACCCTTAGTGCAGGCTGCTACGTACAACCTGGGAAAAAGGCATGTTGGCCGCAATGAGCTCCGATTCACATATCAGATGGAGGAGGCCCTACAGTCCAGGTTAAATAAAATTATGTCCAAACTGTGTTGCAAAAACAAAGAGAGTCTCTCTTGCCCTACCTTCATCACCATCCACTATTGCTACCAAAACCTAGAGGCCTTAATTTAGACCCTCAGACCATGGAGATTCTTACTGCCACCCATGATGCCCTGAACCGCTCCAACCCTTCCCTGGCAGAAGATTGTTGGCTGTGTCTCGCATTAGGAACTTCATGGCCTCTAGTTTTACCTTTAAACAATGAATCTAATATACTCCCCTCTCCGGATATCTGTAGCTATTCCACGCCCTTTAAGGTCCAGCCCCATTACTTCAATACATCTGTTTGTCTTTTTAGTCCCTTTCAAAATAATTCCTTTGATGTAGATCTCGGATTAGCTATGTTTACTACCTGCTCTAGGTTTATAAACACCTCTCAGACAGGCTGTTTAGGGGGGGGGAAATTTATGTATGTGGAAATAACATGGCCTATCCTTATTTACCCACTAACTGGACTGGTTCATGTGCCCCTGCATTGCTCTTGCCAGACATAGACATAATTCCAGGAGATGAGCCTGTGCCTTTGCCTAGCTTTGACACATTCGTTCCTAGGCACAAACGAGCGGTCCAGTTCATTCCGTTGCTTATTGGACTGGGTATCTCAGGAGCCCTCGCTACGGGCTCAGCTGGTGTAGGAGTGGCAATAGACACTTACAACAAATTATCTCAACAGTTAATTGATGATGTAAATATGGTCTATC